CATTACACAAGGCACGCAAATCTGTCGGTTTGGTGGTCTGGAGGACATGGAGGTGAAATACAAGCTGCGATTGGTGGAATTGGGCACTTAAGAAGGCTACTTCCAAATGCCTACTCTGATGCACTCGATATACCTCCTCTCAACCTTCCGTCAATTAATGTCACTTCAACCGCTCCAAAATCGACTCAAAGTCATCCTTTCTCCCAATATTAATACTAAGGGTACGATTGCTCATGCCCTTTGAGTGCTTTCCTAATCAATTCCTGACACCTTAAAGGGCTATTGGCAATTTCAAGGCGTGCATATTTAACAATTATCATTACTCCCTAACAGGGCTACTTTGCTTCGATTGTATTAATAATTTATCAAGGGTTGAGCATAGGCAACGTCTCATGTACTGTACTAATGCAGGTATAAAATCAAAAGCAACAATTTGCGAATTAATTCATTTCTTGCTCCCGTATTCTTGTCCGTCTTTTTTTACTATCTTTTTTAATTTGTTTCCTTTTTTGTGTTGAGAAATTCTTACCCTTCTATTGGCCCTGATGTCCCTTCGACCAATGGATCATTTAATGCACTTTCAAGGCCACTTTTCACCCAACACCAATAGCCTTATTATGGTGCCGGCCTGATGAACACTGGAGGGTTGTAGCCTGGATAAAAAAAGTTCTGTTCACATTGCAGTAAATAATTATCCTTAAGTGGGGTGCTGCTACTTTTTCCATACCAAACCACGAGGAATGCAAACACAAATACATACACATACAACCATTTTCTCAACGGCCTTCCATTGTAATCAATCATAGCTCTGGAGGCTGTGTGTATCAATGTGTAGGTGCTCCGATTTTTTGTTTAATCATTCGTTAAATAGCTATTCTACAATGAAAATACCGCAAGATTATCAGAAAAGGACCAAATTTAAAATCCAAACTGGTCATACAAGAACTAGGCCACTGTCGGTACATTATCTACCCACGTCAAGCCGAATCATCAAACGCCTCTTACTTATTTCGAGGGCTCTTACTAAAGGAAAACTGTTCTTGAATCAATATTACTAAAAGCAGTATCAACTGATCCTTTGGCGTTTTAAAACAACAAAGTAGTGACACAGCTAAGCGTTTCCTTTGATTTTTTAGTGCATTGTGTTTTTTCTTTGGTAAAGTCATTCTCATCGAGAAAAGCAAAGAAAATCACCTTAACAATGTACCTTTTGTTGTACCTGATACACTATCGGAAGGCTTTGACCATTCTCTTAAAACAAAATCTCATAGCCAGCGCCCACTTTGTAGTTGCCAATTTCGTTTAAAAAACGCGTGGAACATTTTTAAGCAGCGAAACAGGAGTAACATAAATCCATGACCAGCATTGGGCAGACACAAAAGTGAATAATTTTACTCCCGAGGAAATAAAAGGATGGTTGCTTGGAACGAAAAAATTACTGAGAAGGCAGGATGGTAATGACTCCGATAAACATAGCAAGTACTTCTACTTTAAAAAAAAACAAGTGATTAAGTGTTCACAGCGGTCTGTGAACAGGCTGCGAATATGGACCGAAATTAGGGACCTAAAATTAAAAAAAGACTGGGGAGAAGGAGGAGGCGGCAGCACGGTTTTATGACTCCCACAAAGTCAAACAAAACAATAAATGCACTGGAGGAATGCGACAGCTAGTGTGGTCTCCAATCGCAATTTAACTGTCTCATGTGAGTTACTTTGCGTCAGTTGGTCATGCTATCCCAGGTGCATAATTATGCGTATATCTCCATTGGTTAGCCAGAGGACGCAAAATTGGCTTGGCCGGGATGAAAGTACATCGCAATTAAAATTGCCATGATGGCCAGATTGAGCCAACTTGATCCGTGAGTAGGGACGAGGCAAATGGAGTCGAGCTGATGGATGGGCAGTCTGATTGTGACACAGTGGAAATAATTTGATACCTCCTTTGTAGTTCCTACTTTGTCTGAATCACTGGAACATTTGACAAATGACCAGTAAGGATTCAGTAGAGAGGCCGCTTGCCAACATCTCACTGCTCTCTACCCACCAGAACACACTGCTCAAACCATAGCCTTATTGTTTGCTGATCACACATCCAACGGATAGTTGTATTTAGGCATTTTATAGAATGGCTTTGCTCTGATTAGCTAAACGAACTGCCTTTTATGGCTTCTTTAATAATGTGCTCACATCACTCCACAACTACCCAACACTGCACATGCGCTGTGCAAACTTGTGAGTGCGTTTTTGCCATTCAAGTAAGTAGACTGTGGAGGTGGAGGGAGGGAGGGGGCGTTGAAGTAGCTGGGTAGGTGAAACTGGACTTTTGTAATATCCGTCATACGTGTTGGACTTTAAAACGTAGTCCAAGTACGCCAAGTACACCACCTTCAAGTGGTTAATGGTGCACGTACTCCAGTGCGGTTGTGACGATCATCATGCAACTTGGGGAACGACGAATGAATTGTCACCATCCCCTGTCCTTTGGAAGCAAACCCATGTTTGGTGTGTAAATGACATTTCAAGCTGATCTGTGAGGGTGGATCACTTCATGCAATGAGTGGAGGCAATCACGTCTACACATAGTCATCGGTAGGCCTGTCTTCAGACTTCCCTACATCGGGTCGCTGCCACTTTGTAACCGTCACTCATCAATTGAGCTTCAACACTGTGCAGGAGTTGAGTTGCTGCCTGAAACGAGGTGAGATGTGAGTCTATGCATAGGCCGATGATTGCGGTGCCGATGCTACAAGGCATCCATGACCTGTGATAAGCTGAATGCATGTCTGATAGTTGTTTATAATTTGGACTAACAGTATCAAACTCGAAACGGAGATGTTCTGAAGTGTAACCGTGTGACTTGAGAGGATTCTTTCAGTTTACGCTGTGTTGTTTCCTAAGCTTGGCTTTGGAGGATACATTAATTCAGAGGGAAAACGCAATGATGTTGCCTAGATACGTATTCTTAAGGGTGATCACTTCAAAAGTACAGCGTTGCTACGAGTGATGAAGTGTGGGCCACCACATGTGCTGCGAAGGGTGCCTCGAGGTGACATGAGTAACGCTGCTGAGTGTCAGCGGATATCAAGTCAGTCAAAAATCGAGACTGTGTTGGTCAGTGTTTGCTCAGTTGTTTGTTTATTTGAGCAGGTGCTGTGCACACGTGCCACCATTCCACTTCATTGTTGCTTCAAAAGTGGAGTTTCGTCAGTGGAGCAATTGAATGTAGGTGGGACCTCATTCGTTTATACAGGTTAGAGGTTACCTGCAACACCGCCTGCCACTTTCGACCACCCGTGTTTCGTGTACGTGCACTTCGAATGTCCAACTTCGTCGTGACCGTGGGCGATGAATGCGTCAGGTTGATGCAAAGAATTGCGACAGTGTTTGTCTTGCTCCTGTTCGCAGCCTGACAACTGCCTCACAATCGACCAAACTGTCATCAGGCTCTATTGATGGTCTGCTGGCCACTGTGTGGTGGGTGGTTTCGGCACCTTGGAATGTGCAGCTGGCCGTGAACTGGAGGTTGCAAATGCAAGAGCTGCGTTGCAGCACTCGTTCATCATGGCACCATGCAATCTCAACCATTGTCTGATCTGGAGGCAATCTAATGGTGGATTTATGGTGAAGAGCAAGAATATCTCGTGTGGATGGGACGCGATGTTGGATGAAAATAGCGCAATTCCAGCCTTCATATATGTTACGGAGCATTTGTAGCACAATGCGTGATGGTTTTGCGCAACAGTCACCTTCACTATCGAGGAAGGTCATGCATTCCGTTGTGACTTGATGAAACGACCCACCGACCACCGAATAGTCAGAAGCCTTGACCATCATGCACTATGTGGCGATGAGAGCGTCCTGTCGTGTTTGCTTTTCAAGGAAGGGGAAGCATGTGAGCTTGATGAGCGCAAGTCAAAGAAGAGATACACCGAGTCTGAGTGAGCAGTAGCAAGTCACTTGCATCAGCATCACCACGTGTAATACGTGTCAATAAACGCTGACAGCAACACCTTCGCACATGGAGCACTCGACTGACAGTTTTCGGTGAAAGCAAGTCGTAATTAGAAGGGATGTTTGTGTAAGTGAAAGGAGGTGGCAGTGTGAGCAGACTGAATTACCCACACTCTCATCCATGATACGAATGAGTCGCATGCGTCGGCATGATGATGATGATGATGATGATGATGATGATGATGTGAGTAATAACCCATATGAGCAATTTGTCTATTCTGTCACTCGTCTGTACAATCAGTCAGTCGGAAGGGGTGCTAGAGTATTTGCCTAACCTCTTCGACTAGCGATTCGAACTCGTGAGGTGCATCCAAGCCTTCTCACAGACACCACCCAGAGGGGCCTGATTGACAGCCCACTTGATGCTGGCACACACTGTGTCCACCTCAAAACTGGGACAACAGATACACTCGGAACGGATTCCCCACTTCTTTCCTTTTTTGCATTGCATTTCGATCCTGTCGACTGAATCCGGCACCACTCACATTGGCGAACCGTTGGAGGATCCGAAAGCTCGAATAAACTGAACCAAATTGACGTGTTGACCAACGGTCCTCACCGGTAGATCGTGATCAGCAAATTAGTGGACGATACATGGTGCGTGTTGAGAGCCTTGGCGCATGATTAATCGACATGAATGAATGAAGTCCAACTAGTTGAACTTCCTGTTTGGTGATAAACACAAGGAGAATGAGGTGTGTGGAGAGGGAGGAGGAGATGTGGTGATTGTATTGGAGAGTATGTGGTAAGAATTGCTGAGGCCATCTGACGAGAGCTCCTATTTTTTTCAAATCTGGC